TTTTCTTGACTTTGAAGTTTGAGACCAAAATTTAAAGAATGTATGTTTGTTTGTATCCATGTGTGTGTGTAAGTGATATGAGCCAAATTTTAACTTTTTATCCAATTTTGAGCTTAAATTATATGCTTAAACAATTAACATAGTATTATTTTATTTTTTTATATATTATAATTATTACTTCCCAGATTTGGCAAAATGACTGATGAAGAAACTGCTGCTCAAATAAATTGTTCGACCAAGCAACTAAAAATGCTAGTAATAAAACGATCGCCAAAAAACGAAAATTACAAGCAGATCCCCGACATGATCAAATTTCACACAAGGCTAGCCGCAATGAATCTTCATACAACAGGATAGGCCGAAAAGTAATTCATTGTAATTCAAGTTATATTCACTATAAAAATCAATATAATTTATTTTTACTAAGGTTGTTCAGCAATCCCAAGCAATTACTTGTAAATGCCATGGAGTATCTGGTTCTTGTAGTGTGAAAACATGTTGGAAAGCTCTGGAAGCTTTAACAGTCCGGTCAAAAGCTCTTGAGGAAAATGGATCAGGCTGTGGAAGTTGCCTCCACGTCGATTGGGCACAAGTAGGTAACAATCGAATAAAAACCAAAAAAACTGTGTTTCCATATGTTTTATACAAATAATAGTAAAATATTTTGATTGGCAATATTAATGAGAATTGTAATTAAGATGAAATATTTATATTTCAGCTACTCAGTTATCTGGTGTGGCACCTGTAGTCCAGCACCGATGTCCAATCAACTTATTTTTTTGACAAAAGTCCTGATTATTGTGAAGAAAATTTATCTGCAGGAAGTTTTTGGTACCAAAGGAGGTAATAAGATATTTTTGTTTTGTTTGTTATTTGATCATGTAGAAGATTGAGAGGTTGGAATAATTAGTAATCATAATTTGTTTACTTTTGGGATTATAGACTAAATTTGTTTGTTTGCCTTATTAAAAATATTTTCCAAAATGATTGAAATATTTAAATATCTTTTTTTATTATATTATATCCTTTTCCAGGACCTGTTCGGTGGGTGTTACAGGACTTAGTGTTGGCAGCTGCCACCATTTGTGTTGTGGTCGTGGCTACAATACGGTTGTTGAAGAGAAAATAGAAAGATGTCACTGTGTTTATCATTGGTGCTGCTACGTTAAATGTAAAACTTGTATAACTACCACCCAACGTCAAGAATGTAATTAAATAATAAAAAAAGGGAAATCGAAAGATAAACATTTTTCATCGAATTGAAAAGAAAAACGAAAGTTTCCTTGTTTTTGCAAAAAATGAGCATGCTGAGTACTATGTCAAAAGATTTAAACTAGAGTTACTTTTCGGGATTAAAAATAATATCTTACAACCACAGGCAATTCGCTTTAGAAAGTTTCCAAATTTTATTTATTATGAAATGCAATATTCAAAAATCCCACTTGTAAAAGCCAGTAAAGTTCATTTAAAACTAACGAGTAAAAGTTTGCTATATTGGCGTAATTAATTAAATTAATAATTGAAATCTATATTCATATAAATATTTAATATTACGTTTTGTGAATCAAAAAATATATTTATCTCAGCTTGCACTAGTTGTGCTCAATGATTCCCAAAAAATATCAAGAATTGTAAATCATTTCAAAAATTCATTTGTATATAATTATAATTATTCATTCACTTTAATTTTTGAATATATAAAATGTACTGCAACTCTATGGTAAATTAAGCTTATTTATATTAAATATTGATAAGAGAAATCGTCAAAAGCATTAGCTTTGCGTCATTAAAATGTTCTGAATATATAATATATAGTAAAGTTATATGTACCAATTCAAAATATCACTCATATATCTTCCAGTTTACCTCACTTTTATTAGTTTTTTTAATAAAAATTAAAATATTAATATTTTATCCATAAAGCTCAAATTTTCAATATACATTTCATACACGTTTTTAAACTAGTCGATGTATATTTAATATTTATCAAAAATAACAAAATTATACTACAAGTAAATAATCAATGTATCATACTTCTACATTTTTTTAATTATCATTCAGATCTCAAAATAAATCATAATAAATCTTATGCATAAACAAATTCTCTATTGTTTTATTTCAGTATGCAATTTTAAATCAAGTTTGACGTAGAAATATTAAATTTTTGTTAGATTTTTGTTTTGTAAAAATATTTTTGTATGTGTATTTTGTATTTGTAAAAGTATGGATAATCGTGCATTACAAGAAGAGGCTGCTCTAAAATATCAGCAATGGAGAGAAGAAACGGTAAAAATTACTTATTTAAAATATACAAAAAATCAGAATCAATAAATAAATTTTAGTAGTAGAATTTTTAAGTGGAAAGAATAGCAGTGAGGGCTACATATCACAGTGGCAGTTTTTTGCCACGAATTAATATAAATGTAGAATGGACTAGATACATATATAAAGAAATGTATATATGAAAATTATTTCAAAATCTTTTTTACCAGGCACCCCTGCCTGACTAAGATAAACACATATATCATAATAAAAAAAAAAATGCATATATCATATACTACTCTGTTTATGTTAGAAGAAAATAAATAATTATCAAAAATCATTTTTATGTGCTTTTCAAAATATTTGCTTTATGGGTTTTAGACTTTCAAGTTTGTTACATCTTTACATTTGTATATAAATACCTAAGAATCTTTCATACATTATCTTATAGTAGACAACTCTTATATTATATGATTTTTAGGCAAGAATTATTAGCCAAAGTGTTTTAATATAATGAAAATATTATATAAGAAAAATTATTCATTCAAATCCCTTCCTTAAATTTCTAATATACAGATCCAAAAAAAGTATCCCTTGTTAGCTGAACTCCCATGTCATATTTTGGCCCTCGTTCTGGAGATGGTTCAGGTGAACCTGTCGCCCACGTTGGTGCCTTTGATGCCTTATTTTTGTCTTATGAACTCTTGACATTCGGCAAAAAGAGGTGACAAGAAAACGAGGTGCAATCGTGGAAATGGGAATTGCTGAAGAAGAAGCAATATAATAAAGGAGCTATAATTAACAATAGAAAAATAGGGTAGATTTATTGTAAAATTGGATTTTTCTAGGCTTATTGGACGCATTTGAATGAATTTATATACCAAAATATGGTATTCGATAAGTTTTTGTTAGCAGTTTTCGTCAATTCCAATAAGGCTACAACTTGTTTACAGCAAGTAGCTTAAAAATAGTCTAATTTCAACACACAATACTAATTAGTAAATTTTTCAATTAAACATATAGTGGATGTTTTATCATTGCCATCTAAATAGTAATTTTCAATGGAAGTGCTAATAAATAATAATAAATATATTATCTCAGGAAGGAGCTCGAGTGATTCCATTAAGATCTTCAGCAGTGCACGGTCATACAAAACATCTAAAAACCAATATTATTGATTTCTACCCTTTTTATCACGCATTAAAAGAACAATATCGAAAATGCGGTATAACATTCGATACTGAAGACAAAAGTTGGCATGTTTGGTAGATTGTAATATATACTAAAATTTACTAAAAAATATGTATTAAACATTATTTATAATTTACGTGATGTAATAATCTGAAACAAAATTATATGTGCATCGATGTCAAAAGCAATGTTTTTATTTGATCATTAGAGAGAAGTTTTTTTGAACACCATATTTTTCATTCATTACTATCATTTTTTTTTGAGAGTTTAAATAAGCTGGTAATACCATTATCAATATATTTGCAAATTATTATGTAACATTTAAGTAATAAAATTAGTATCTCATGAGTATATATATTGATATTTAAATTTTGTTGAATGTGAATTACAAGGGCTGTTCTACAAAAACCTGGACAGATAAGCTCAGTATAACAGACATTACTTTTAGTGAAAGCTTATTTTAGTAGGTGCTTTATTAGCTTTATTCTTAGCTCGTTTATTTTAAAATATGACAATCAATTATGTTACTTTTTTGTGTATAGTTTTGAAAAGTTTAAGAAATTGATTGAAATTATACTTAGATTGATCTACCTCAGCCAACATAAAATTCTATATATTTATCTCTTTGTACCTCATAGAAGATTTGAGGTTTGTATTGGTTGAGTTGAGATGAATGATATTGCCAATAAAGTTTACAAGGTTGAAAAAAAAAAACGAAAACTTAAACAATATAAATAAATAATATTTATAGATCATAAATGAGTTAATTTAATAATGTAAGAATCTTAGAAATTGGAGATCCGAACAAACATGCAACAGTTATATGTTTTGCTTCTTCAGAGATGCCGCAGCTGTTATTTTCAAGTTTGATCAATTTTCGCTAGTATAAAAGAAAAACGGATATTTTGTATGTTTTAGTGAAAATTTAAAATATTTAGTGACGTTTTGAAAATACAAATGATTAGGTTCCGTACCATCATTTTTTCTCAAAAACTATTACTGCTTTATGACTATTTTAACTGGTGAAGAAGCAAATCCATTTCCGATAGTAATAAATATTATGAATAAACATCAGAAAAATGCAATAAATGAATAAATGAAAAATAATCTATATTTCATATATGGATAAAACTCGATATGGATTATTTCCGAATATGTACTGAATTTTTCTATAAACCAGCACATGTTAAATAATAATTTTAAAAATGTAAAATAAATCATAAAAATAATTTGATAATATATTATAAAAAATGAATAATATAATTTTATTACATTTTAAAATCATTTCACATAAAATATTATAATTGAATATATTAATATTGAAAAGAGAATATGTGGGAGAGAAAAGAGAATGGTTCTTACAACTCATCATGATTGTAAATACGTTCTATATGATTCTTATTTTAAACAAATAAATATCATTTATATTTTAATTATTCTTAATTCTAAAACTGAACATGCTTAGGATTTAAAAGGACTCACCGAACAAGCACCGATTCTTCTGGAACATCTCGATTAACAATTTGTTATCTACATAAAATAATATTGATTAAATATATAATAATAGTTGGTAATATATTCTGAAAATGAACAATTAAAAATAAAAATAATTACCTCGATACTTCCAGAAGAAGGGTGATGAGGATCTTCGAGGTTTTTGAAACTCATCATTGTCCTCACATTTTGTACACTTGACTATCACTGAACTAATATAATAACTAAGCACTATAAAAAATATACATTGAAAACTTGAAGTATTCAAAACTTGCAATAAACCGCACTGACGACTACAAATTTGTAAAATTTCAGACTTCAAAATTGAAATATTGGAGAAACACCTGCAAAGATATTATTGAAAATTAATAAGAAATATGAACAATATTTAAGATTTGTTTTATTTTTTTAAATTCCTACTTATGTCTCAATTAATTGATAATCAATTAGCAGATTTTTTTGAACATATTATTTAGAAAATTCAAATGCACAGTACTATGTTCTTTGAGTGAATTACAAATGCTTATTTATTCCTCAATTTAAGAATCTGAAAAAATAAGTAGCAAGATAAAAAGTAACCTTTTATGAAGTACCCATATGCAGATCTATTAACTACCTTTAAATTGATTTTAAAATTTAATTTTTTAACTTTCTGAATTAATACATAGCCTTCTGCATTTAATAAATATTACTTCCTAATATTATTCATTCAAAGTGATAAAATAAATTGATGATTCAATAGAGACTGTATAGCACATATTGTTTTATTAAATAATCTATTTTGGTTATCAATAAATTTATTACACCAAAGAACTGTTCATATGAAATTGATGCGCAATATTACTTTCTACAGAAAGATAAGATAAAAGTTAAAATTTCGTGAAAAAACTGTATAATTTATTAATCATACATTTAATTAAGCGGATTATAAGAATGAACAGATGGTACGAGTGTAAAAACATCACATAATCAGAGACTTGATGGAATATGTAAGTAATTTATAGGTATATATAAATTTATTTAAACATATATTGATTTAAAATGCTGAATAAAATTTTACAAAATAGGTAAGATCTAGTAACTTGTAAAATAAATTACAGATTCTGTTTAAATGAAAATCTCTATTTTTTCGAGTAGATGGAATTATTATTGATTGAATAACTTAAAATTTGTATAATTAAGTATAAGCCTATTGTTGGTTTATAACGTATTTATTATGTATATTAGTATTCAGGTATTAGTATTTAGGTATCTTATAGTTCATTTTTACAATTATG